TGGCGTGCGCGAGGGGGGTGGGCGTGGAGGATCAACCCCCGCTCCACACCCACCCATATCCTCCCCTTCTCCAATATCCACTCCCCCCACCCACCGACTCCCCACCCACCCAACCAACCACCCACCCACCATTTCCAACCCCAACCCCACCATCCCCGCTCACCCCACCAAAGGACGCCGCCTACGGGCTCCAGCCCTCGATCGACGCCACCGAGGTTCCCGCGGCCGAGGCTGCCGCCCAATTGTCGAAGGACCCCGCTGAGGCCACCTCCGACAGGCCACAGCCGCCGATGGTCACCGCCGACGGACCCGAGCGGCCGATGGTCACCGCCGACGGGCGCCAGCCGGAACAGCCGGTCGTCATTGGGGTCGGAAACCCCGCAGGAGCCACGGGAGTCGTCGCTGAGGTCGCCGCTGGGGCAACGGGAGTCGCTGCCCGAGAGACGGGAGTCGTCTCCGCAGGGGCGGGAGTCGCTAGCCCACGGAACAGAGTCGTCGCCGCCGCCCCCACCACCGGACTCACCTTGGCCCCGGGAGTCGTCGCGCAAAAAACGGCAGTCGTCGGGCCAACTGCGGGGGTCGTCGCATCCCGGACCGCAGTTGTCAACCCCCCCAACCCGGCCGAGCATGATCCAAGCCTCTTGGCCCCCGTAGGAGCCGTCATCCCTGGTGCCGATTCCGAAACCCAAATTTTCTCCGGAACCCCCGCCACCATTGCCCCCACTGGCGTCAAACCCAAGGAAACAATCCGCCCTGTCACCGGACCCCCTGAAAACCAACCACCCCCCCTGTCAAACCCAAGGCAACGGCACCAGTCAGCCCCATCACCACTGAAGATGAAGACAAATCTGATGACAATCACGCAGAAACCGCTGAAGATGACGAAACGGTAACCATCGAAAAATGCTTAGAGATACTTGCAAGTCAAGCCAACAACGCTGAGGAGGACGAGCCCGAGTCAGATCCGGAAGATAAGACAAATACAACAACGAAGACCTCAACCATCCCCCCAACACCAGCGCAAGCACCACATACCGACATACCCGCTCCACCTGCGGCCACTTATTCCGACCCTTTGATCCTCGAGCACTCCATCAAAACCTTCGCTCGGGAGAATGGTTTCGTCATAGTCAGGAAGAGGACTGTTCCCGGGAAGAGTATCACTTTCAAATGTGACAGGTAAGTACTCCTTCTGCATAGCACTCAAATCAGAGCTCATGCTCAATGGCCGACCTTTTTCTCCATCTTATGTGTAGTGGTGGTAACCCAGCTCGAAAAAGACGGAAAAATGACACACGCCCCGGACCCATCGTCAGTCGACTGATCAATTGCCCATTTGACGCGGGGGCCCAGATCCAGAAGAAGGCCGGGGGGGAATGGAAGTTTACCGTGGCCGATCCCCGACATAATCATGCACCCAGTGAAGATCCGTCCGGGCACACCGCCAACCGAAAACTCTCGAAGGAGCTCTATGAGCAAATGAAGAAACTAGGTGACGCGGGTTTAAAACCAGCTCAGGTTCTCCAATCACTCAAGAAGACACATCCCGATCAGTCGATCTTGGCCACAATTTCAACTGTGTACTCCGCCAGAAAGAAGGCTTGGGCCAAAGAGTTACGTGGTCTCAGCCCCATTGTTCATCTTAATCAAACCCTCACGACGGACTTCACCTCAGCAACCAAGGTAAATGATTCTGGCGAGATTCTAGGGCTTTTCTTCTGTCACAACCTCTCGCTTCAGCTCCTCCGTCATTTCCACTACGTCTTATTCCTCGATTGCACCTACAAGACAAATAAGTATTGCATGCCCCTCCCCCACATTGCTGGCGTCACTGGATCCAACAAATCCTTCAGTGTCGCCTTTGCTTTCCTTCACGAAGAAACCGAAGAATACTACGAATGGGCTCTTGAATCTCTGCTCAACGTGTTCACTAGCAACAATATTCCTATCCCTGAGGTAGTCCTGACCGACCGGGAACAAGCCCTTATGAATGGTCTCGACTCCGTTTTCCCCACCGCGACTCATCTACTGTGTACCTGGCACATCAACAAAAACCTGATTTCTAACGGGGCCAAAATGATCAAGGACAAGAAGAAGGAGGCTGAAATGATTCAACACTGGAAGAATCTCATCAAAATCACAACCACCGGCGACTTCAGGGCCGCCTTTGACCGATTCGCTGGAAGTTATGGTGAGAAATTTGGCAATTACATGCGCTCAAACTGGCTCCCAGTTGCGGAGAAATATGCGAACACCTGGACGAGGGAAGTGCCCCATTTTGATCACCGGACGACATCTCGGATCGAATCTTCACATTCCTTTGTCAAATCACATCTCCTTGGTCCCAATCAATCCCTCAACTCGACCATCAAAATGATCACCAACGCCATCGAAACCCAAGTACACAACATAAGCTCCCTCCACCGCCAGGAAAAAATGGACGCTCTCATGAATCTCGGTTCCCTGTTTGACAATTTCCTTGGCCGGATCACCCATTTTGCTCTGAGGAAGGCACAAAACAACCTGCGCATATCAGCAAACCTCGGGAAGAAGGATCATTGTAATGGCTTTCATTGACTCCAGACAGGTATTCCGTGTAAACATTGCCTAGCACAGTTGGCTTGGTCAGGCGGACAGTTGGAACCAGAAGACTTTCACCAACAATGGCATATCCACGTATGTTTGTTACATTTTTCAGCTCTTAGAGTCCTTAATAACATTGTGCTTCCTTTTAATCAACAACAGGATATCCAACCAACAAACAATCCGGGACAAAACAACCCACAAGCCCCAGACCAGATTGAAACCGTCAAGCAAAGGCTCCTCCAAACAAACCCGAGCACGTTAACCATACAGCTTGACGCCATCTCTCGACTTCTGGACGGCTCTGCCACTGTTGTCAACCTTCAGTTACCAAAGCAGGTGCAATCAACTCGAGGTAGACCCAAAGGAGCTCTGAACAAACCCAAATCAACAACGCGGGACCCGTCAGAATTTGAACACATTGCCAAAAAGAGGAAACTTGAAGAAAAAGCCGCCAAGAAGAACAAGAAACGGAAGACCAAAGAAGATAATCAGAAGAAGAAAGAGCAGGAAAAAAAGAATAAGGACGACATCAAAAAGAAGAAGGAAGAAGAGGAAGGGAGAAGAGGCCCCAAAGAAGAGGATTCAACCAGTCAAGAAAGGAGCCACCAAACCAGTTGTTGTCGTCCCCAAGAAGAACGTGAAAGCAACCACCCCTGAATCCTCCCCTCCCTCCTCCCCCGTTCAAGCCAACCATAAGAAGCTCAAAGTCAATTCCTCTGCCGATGCCTCCGTGCCCTCGTCCCCCATCACTCCCACCGAACCGGCCCCATTGGTGCTTCTAGACCCTCCCCCACGTCCATCTGACCCCCATCTCCCAATTCCCCCATCCGATCTCGATTACCTTCAGTACTTAGAGCATCTCCACCGCGGTCCCTAAATCGGGTCCCTAAAACCTTGCATTTGGGGACCGCGCTACCAGCTATAGGGACCCAAGGAGCTGCAGCACACACCGCGGGTCCCCAAATTGAGTCGCTATTTGCTCCCTGCCCTCCCCCGAGCAAATCCCTTCTTCATCTGTACATTGCTTCTACTATGGACCGGCGTACAATCCTGCAGAATATGATCTCGCTGCAATCCTCTGTGAGATGTTCCTTGTGATCATATTTAGGACCGAATACCCCACTCAGAAACGACTAGCCCAAGCTCGACTCGATCAGAAGATCTCTCAGTTTTCATTCGGAATTATTGAGCGATGAGAGACGCACATAGGCATCTTTCTTTATGCAATGATCTCATCACTCATCTATGGACCCGAAAGGGTCAACTGGAGGGTGAAATCAGTGAAGAGAAGGAGGAAACCCTTCCGTACCCCGATGGTTCCAGTGAAATGGGAGAAGAGCCACATTCCCGAGGGAATGGAGCTCATATGATCTAGTTTTTTACTCTTTGTTTTGTATCTGAGTGATTGGTTTTATGAAATTTTATCTTGCTTTTTTTCCTTTCAGTTTTCAGTTGTAGTGCTCCAAGTGATCGGTCTCAGTTTCTCTTGCTTTGTTTCTCTCGCATTTCAGACCAAGTGATCAATCTGTTTGATTTCAGTCATTTTCATCCTCCTTTATGGGTTCTACGTTTCATACTAAGACAATAAAGCTATGAACAGTATACCATTTCAATCAAGAAGAAGAACAAATATCGAAGAGAGAAAAAACAAGGGAAAAGAGAAAAAATAACAAAAGAAATAAAGCAGACTGAGATCGAGCATGGAAAAAGGCCAAGACTTAATTTATCATTTCTTGAAAAGAGCCGAGGATACCAAGAACAGTGATGGTGGGTTGGGTGGGTTGTTGATGTTGAACCACTGTGATATCAGACGAGTCGGGGGTTTGGAGGACTGAGATTTCAGATGGCAATACGAGGCTTGCATCCAATAAAGGTTGGGCCTTGGGTGTTGCCACAGAGGGAGGTTGACTGTTTGGTTGTGGTTGGTTGTTCGATAGATGTGCCATTGGTAGCAAGGTTGGCAGATGGGGTAGTTGGCTTTGCTGTTGGGCCAAGACTAGAAGATAGGGGGTATCGGGGGAGGTGGAGTTGTAGAAGGATGGATGTTTCACAGGGGAAACACAATGTTTTGTGTGATCCTTGTAGATTTCAGTGTCCCTAGCCGATCCCTGGATCCAGGGTCTGGAGAGGGACCGAGGAAGGAATCTGTAAAATAAGGACGCCGATGAGGACCGCGGTGGGCGGCGTTTTTTGAGCCGCGGTCCCTAAATGCGGGATAGGGACCCGATTTAGGGACCGCGGTGGAGATGCTCTTACCCAAAATTATTCAACCTGATGTCCGGGATATTTTGGATGTTTGATCAGATGGACACTGCGGATTCCGAGCTGTGGCTTACGCATTGGGACATGGGCAGGGCGATTATATGGCGGTTCGATATGAATTGTACAATGAAATTGTTCGCCGGCCTGATTGGTATCAAAACGTGTTCCACAAACTCCACAGCGCTTTGGATCGTATCAAGGTTGATTCGCCATCACCTTGTTCAAAGCCTCATTGGATGTCCATGCCTTCGACGGGTGAGGTAATGACCAACGCCTTTGAGAGGCCTGTTTGCTTTTTTTTCTGACACCTTTTGCCAGACTTTTCTTCCTTCTTTCTGCCCCCCCAATGACAACACCCCTATTTTGATTGCTTTTCTGCGTGAATTTTCTCATTTTGTCCCCTTGCAGTTACATAACCCAAGACTGTTTGCTGCCCCTCAGCTCATGAACGCGTGGAAAGAAAAGGCGTCAGAAGAGGCTTGGGGATGGGAAGCCCAATTTTATGATTCTTTCAAATTGACTGTAGAGAGGAAAATAGAAAATCCAATGAAACACTACTAGGGTTTTTTTTATGCTGTGTCTTTTTTATTTATTGATTTTTTTCCTCTATGTCCTTTTTTACCCTGTTTTTTTTCTTACATTTCTGATCATTTTTGAATGTTTTTGGCCCGTTTGTCATCTCTTTTATCTCTTGCAATGGATTTTCTCAATGATTCTAATTTTTTTATCTTGCCTTTGGGGTGGGGCCTCAGTGGCTCAACCTTTTATTGAAGTCTCTGAGGGTGCCATATGGCGACGACTCCCATATTTTTTAACATAGAAAAAAAGGCAAAACATTGGGCGGAATTGGTGGGACGACTCCCTCGTATTAGGTGGATGACTCCCTTAAATTTGATTATACAAAAAATTCGAAATTTTAGGCGGAATTGGTGGGACGACTCCCGTACTTTAGTCTGACGACTCCCTTCAATTTAAATATAAAAAAATGCGAAAAATTAGGCGGAATTAGTGCGGCGACTCCCGCATTTTAGTCAGACGACTCCCAATTTTTTAATAAAAAAAAATAAAAAATCTCCAGGTAAAATAATTAGTGCAACGACTCCCTATGTTTTTTCAGGAATTGGAAGAACGACTCCCATTCGACGACCTCCCGACCAAAACGGGCACTACAAACATAATGTACTTCCCCCATGTGTATAGCAGTTGCAAAGCGTGGATAGCGGTTATCCCATAGCGGGGGTTTTTTTTTTCTTTTTTTTCTTTTTTATGAATTTTCTACAACATATAGACCATGTATCTGTGCTTGAATCTCTTTCAACATGACACAGAAGGAGAATTATGTCAAGGAAATTAGGCAGAAAGTGCCATTTTCCCTCATTCTGGCCAAAATCACTATCCCCAGGTGAAAATATGGTAGTATATATCACCTCATCTGTAGTTGAATATATTGACTTGCTTATGGGATGCTAGAATTGTAAGTTTGACTAGCAAAACTGGTGTTATGCTGAAAAATAACCAGTTTTTTGATAGTTTACCCACATTGGCTAGAATAAGTAGTCCAGAAAGGCCACACAGAGACATCATGACCTTTTTGTTTATCTCAACTGGATAGACACCTTCAACTTGGACATATGTGAGGTGAAAGTATGTGCTGAAATGGTCCAAAAAAGGATCATTTTGTCATATTTTTGGCTAATACCAACTGAATTCACTACCACAAGATGAGCCAATGGTAAAATGAATATGTCCAGTCAATTGGTAAACATCATTATGCATGCATTTTCTTTCATTTTGCCTCACGTTGACCAAGATGACCATTCTAGAAGAAAAACCTGACAATACAACCTGAATTTTATCTCTTCCTGGTATCTTTTGGCTTGGAACTGAACATGACCCACTAAATTTGTTTGAGAATTCAGTGGGATATTTCATTTGGTCATACCATGGCTTGGATGTGGGCGAAAACATCAGTTCTTTGTGGGTGTAGCTCAACATTCTCAAGAAAAAACTCGCATTCAGTAGAAATAACAATCAAAATACCTAGGCAATCTCATTCATATTCATCAAACATGCATTCTATCAGGAAGGGTAAACAGACTATTCACATTCACAGGCAGATACAAACTCATCAACCTCAACATTCATAATAATTGATGGCTTCTAGTTCTTTCCCGCCTGTGGTCAATTGGATTTCGGTAATTCCTCCTTGAACTTCTTACCTTCTACCACAAAATCGGCCATGGCTGCAGAAAGTCCTAGCATGACACTGGCATGAGTTTCTGTGGGAAGTTCAGGTGCATCGTTGCTTCCGGAGGGTATTGTTGCGAGTGTGCTTGGTTTTAGAGGTCCAGTTTCTGCTGGCGAGATCTTTGGCGGGTTGTTTGCCCCAGTGGCTGTTGTTGGTGCGCTAGGCTTTGGAGGCTCCGTTTTTTGTGATGGGATTGGTGGTGCATCGTTTGTTCTGGGAGTCGAGCGGCCTCAATCGTCTTTTTGATTATTGGGCTGGGCCTTCAGTCTTTCGGCATGTGCTTTGATCAGGTCATGGCGAACCTTTGATGCGGCTGACAAACCCATTTCGTCGGATTGTTGGCCAGCAGTATATTCGGAAGCTTGAGAGTTGAGCGCAACCTGAGGGTATATTTTGGTAGCTGGGGAAAAGTTGGAAACAAACAGCATGTAAGTATAGCTTTGGCAATTTCAGTGAAGAACGAAAAAGCACTTACTAGAATGTGCTGCATCATGTCTGATGGACAGACCAGGGTTGTTTGGGCTTTCAGAAAGTTCGGGCGGGCTTTGTTTCTGGGCATCTTGAGGGACGCCGGAAAACAAACAGTATGTAAGTACAATCGCGGCGCATTCAGGATAAGATACCGATGCACATACTTGATCTTCGCGTATCAGGTTGAGTGGACAGATCGGGATTGTCAAGACTTTCGGGGAGTACAGTCATCTTTTGATTCTTGATGATCGGTTCACTTGGCGGCTTTGGCTTATTCTCGATAGAATCCTGGTAGTTAGACCCAGTGACATCAGCCGACTGATGCGGTCTGAGCTGTTTAGGGGAGGCGATTGGTCGAGAGCTCATAGGCAAATGTTGTAGATCTACTGCGCTGCTTGCTTGAGGAGGCAACACTGCAATCGAAGGAATCGCTGGACAAGTGCCAGCGGTGGCGTTGGTGGGGACAAACGTAAACGCATTTACTGTTGGATTGACGGATTGATTGTCATGTTGAACTGGAGCGGGAGGTTGAAAGTTCGTAATCGTGCTTTCGGAAGAACTATTCGGGTAATTGAGGACAAGTGGGGAAAACATAAGGGGTGTGCTTAATCCTGAGGGTGACACTTTCGATAAATTAGGGACGGCAGTGGCAGCAAACTGGGTGTGATGTGGGGGTGCGGACGAGGATGAGGCGCCGGCTTGGTTTTGAGGAGATCCAACATGGTGCGAGAAGGAAGCAGACTGGGCGGGAACCAAATGTGTCGACGAAGACAAGGCACCGGCTTGTTTTTCAGGAGGTCGGGCAAGATACGAGAAAGCCTGGTGTTGAACTGCAGTCATCTGCTGCAAAAGTTGAAGAATCTTATCGCTATCGGACATGTTACTGAGAGGGGGTGCAGGCAATGTATTTCCTGCATTATGAGACAAAAGAGGCGGTAGTTCGGCTGTGTGCAACACTACGGAAATTTGTTAGCACAAAATACAGCCTAGCTAAGACATCGAACTCAGATGGATATACCTGATGGAGCCGCTGGCTGGTGATGTTTGGTTAATGTAATCCATTTCGGGGCTATTATTGATGGATCCTTTGGATATCCCGCTGCCAATTCTTCCTGAGTTGCTTGATAATCGGTGACAGGAAGCCATGGGGCGGCATCTCGATGGGGTATGAGGGTGTGGATTATTTGTTCTTCTTGTTTGGCAATACGACTAGACAGTGTGAACCAAAGCCGTTCTGAGTCTGATTCCATGGGTGGATAATAAGTTGGAGCAGGTTTCGAAGAAAATGCCCGAGGCATGTCTTCGGCCGGATTAATCGAGGCATGCCGATCGAAAGTCTTTAGTCGATGGTTCAGCAAGTTGGACAGAACCATACATTCACTAGCGCTGAGTTGATCGATGGGGTTGGAAAATTTGGATTCATCCCTGTTGAGTGTTCGATGATCTGAAGGAGTGCGCGCAGTGACCAAATCGAGTCCAAGAATCAATTAGCGCGTTCTGGTTCATTATCAGTACAAAACACTCTAACAATTGCAAGACGTACTTGCTCCTTCATTGAAAGCAGCTATCTTGTGAGAATGATTGTGACCAGAACCTATTGCAATAGTGGCGGTGTGAAGAGAACAGAGTCCAAAATCAGCAGCACATCCAAATTCATTCTCAGTGTGGACTACTCTTACCAGTGCGAGGAGGGGTTACTCCTCTGTTAGAAGTAGCTCCCTCGTGAGAATGATGGCCTGGGTCGCTTGAGCGGATGAAGGAATCGGGAACTATTCGATTGTTTGTTGAGGTAGGCCGGCCATCAGAATGGTTTGTCCCAGGATTCTTGATAGGAAAGTTGCGCCGGCCATCGAAGGGGTAGGTCCCGGGATATACGGCAGGCAAGGTGCGTTGGCTATGAGAGGAGTGATTTGCGGGATTTGGGGTGAGGGAGGTACTCTGGCTATCAGAGGGATGAGTCCGCGAGTTAGTGTGAGATCTGGAAGCAGCCGAAGTCTTGTTGCTTGAGCTGTTCTGACGAGACCGTTCGATGTTCGAGTAATCAAATGAAACTTTTGGTTTCTGTTTCAAAGAGGGATTTTGATTCAATCCTCCGGGGCCGACCTTTCTTATTCCTGGTACATTTGGATTGGAGTGCCAATCAGACTCTGGAGGGTTTGGGGGTGCAGCAGATTTGCCAGCGACGCGAGATTTGTTGGCCAGAGCGGGCTGTGCACTTGAAACGGATTCGCTACTTTCGGAGGCTGACTCGTATTCGACACAGTCCTCGATACCACTTTCTTGTTCGTCCATGGAATCGGTGTTACTTGACTGGTGGAGGACTCGTTTACTTGACAAGGGGTTCTTTGGCCGGGAAGCGGGAGATTTAGATTGATGGTTGGATGAAGAGGACTTAGATTTTGTTGTGGTTGACGTTTCGGGATTTCTCGCAGATAATTTCTTCTGCGAATGCTGCTTCGATGGGATATCTTCCGCAGCCGCTTTTGTTGATACAGTCGAAGTTACTTTTCCAGATACCCGATTGCTTGATAAAGTCGTTCTCGGAGCCGATTTGCTCGATGCACTCGAAATTACTTTCCCAGATGCCGCACTTTTACAGGCCCTTGGCCTGCTGGGCCGCTGATGATGTTCATGTTGCCCTAGCATATGCGTTCGTGTCAGTAAGTTTCTTTGTACTCATACGGCACCACCCGGTTTAACTTACCCAATTGTTGAGTTGCTTAGGAAGTACAAAGTTATAGATAAGAGACATATTATTATGTCAGATGATAGCAAACACAAGCAATTGATAGTCAAAACAGCTTCACTAACCTTTAGAAACATACCGGGCAGCAATGTCGCGCATCTCGTCAGTGTCTATCGCTGTTGGCATTTCAATGTGGGGATCAGCTAGATATATGAAGTCCACAAGATGTTGACGCTTGATGTTCTTCGCATATGGATTGCAATTCTCATTCATCGGAAGAGGATTTCAAGAGGGGGAACTGGTGAGAATAGCAAGAGCGCAAAAAGACCTGTCAGAAAACAAAACAAGCTGGGACTTTGAGACCAAGCAATCAGTACAGCCGAGATAAAAATGAGCTGGGCGATTGACTGGAAGGTGTCTTGGTAGGGCGAGGCAAAGGAAGCAGTCCAGCTGAAGACGAATATTGAAAAATAGAAACCGCGCTGGAAGGGTGTTAGGCAGCAGAAACACACAGGAAGAAAGAATAGAATGTTTTTAGTCAGGGGGACAGCGACAATGGTTGACGAGCTGATCTTTAAAAGGGATAGCAGGAGAAACAAAGTAATCAGTACGTGAGTGATCATGAGGAAGTGGGACACAAGCTGGACAACAAAGAGCGGAAGGCAGGTGTTGCCAAAAGCTTCGAAACTGGATGAGGGACTCAAGGCGGCGATATATGTACATGTGTATAATTGTATTGAGGTGAATCTGCTGCTCACCGTTGTTCCTTTGGTGTGTCATGTGATGAAGGATTGGGCCGATATATAGTCATCCATTTGGACTACTTATTTATGTACAGGACGTACTGCGTTGCATCTTGAATTCGTGAGTATGTCGTCCGATTTGGGAGCTGCCCGTACATATGGGAGAGCTAGATGGGGACATGTCGAAGAATATCAAAGAAACCTGCTTAATCAGTGCAAAAAACTTCGTTAGTCTTCTTGAGGGCCCACTCGAGAGTCGAAAGGTCGGATGACTTGTACAACACTCTGCAAGCAGTCGGGCTACGACTGAAAAGCCCTTACCTGACTCCTGCACCCTCCCTCAGTACATAGCAGAATGGAATTGGTTCAGCGAACAACACCCGAGCGAGTACTTGCCTTTACGAAAATTGGGCCGATATACAATACGCCACCGCGTACATGGTCATCCATTTGGACAATTTATGTATACATATGACGTACTGCGTTGCATCTTAGATTCGTGAGTATGTCGTCCAATTTTGGAGCTGCCCGTACATATGGGAGAGCTAGATGGGGACATGTCGAAGAATATCAAAGAAACCTGCTTAATCAGTGCAAAAAACTTCGTTAGTCTTCTTGAGGGCCCACTCGAGAGTCGAAAGGTCGGATGACTTGTACAACACTCTGCAAGCAGTCGGGCTACGACTGAAAAGCACTTACAGACGTACACTGACTCCTGCACCCCCCCCCCCCTCAGTACATAGCAGAATGGAATTGGTTCAGCGAATAACCCCCGAACGAGTACTCGCCTTTACGAAAATCCAGCAAGCGATCAGAGAGGATGACCTATGGACGGCCGCTTGGTGTATGTGGAAGTTCCTTAGGGTACCACACGTCCTGTTGGCCAAAGAAAGGAAGTTATTACAAGAAGAGTACAGTTACCAGGTGGATCGATTTCAAGGCGCCGTAGATTTTTTCGCAGAACTTTGCTACCAACACGCCAAGGGGGACCACCACGACTGGCTCGAAAACGGAACACCATTCGCTGCTGTTGAAGAAGGGAGCTTCAGTCAACACGAAGAAAACTCAATTCAACCGCTGAAAGTGATCAGTACCTATGGTCGATCGGCCGGTTACTTACGTGCTATCATCAACATGAAGGTCACACTTCCCTCGGTGCAGGACGGGGAGTTATTTGAGCTAGAGGCAATGGGACCAAGCCCCGGCGTGATTAATGTTAAGAAGTTAGTCTCGGATAAGTTTCTGGGATGAATATCATATTTACTTACTCATTCGGGTTTCTGGACCAGCTTAGAAATCCCGGATCACGACTGGGTTATCATTAGCCCTGAGGAGGCGCGTAGAGGCGCATATCACGGTCACCAATGGACGACCAAAGAGTTGACAACGAAATGATTCATGGATCAGAAAGGTACATAAATAAATCATGTCTACATCGTATACCATGAACATAAATCATGTCACTCAGAGTTTGCTGCTGACGAACCATTTGTTCGACTCCAACTCCATACATTTTTTAGATAATCTATAAACATGAACATATTTTTACACATGATTTACATATTTATTTTCTCGTGTCACAACCTTGGTTTTGATCTCGTTGCCAAAGTTGCTACATACAATGTAATCGCCTCTAAGCTGATCCACTGGCATAGATAAACACTGTGTACACATACAATTCAAATATTTATTCTTTTGATAAGTTCGGACGCCAACTTCAGACCATGCTCACCATGCTCTCAATAAGCCACAATATCATGCGAGTTGGCTTTGTTTTCTGAGTGCCATCAAATACTGCATATACAAACTTGTCAGATTGTGCGCATGATGGTTTTGTGATTATCTATGTATTGAAGTCTATCAAAGTATCCAATATCAGGTAACTATCTCCTCAAAAATGGTCCACAAGGATTTCGGAAAATGTAAATGTTTGTGTTGAGGTGTGAAGACAGTGAGTCTGATGAAGTCCAACAAGCGTAAGGCTCCTTCGATAACAACTGTCAACACGTCCATACAAATGATGATGACGCCTTCCCAAGGATGATACATATACATGCAAGGCCATCCCGAACCGATGGACGTTTAAGTCCACATTTCTATGTAAATACATAAGTATATCTTGTGTAAATATATGAACATTTATTTGATAAAAGTGTGATCATGTACTGTGTACTATGGAAACAATTGATGACTGTATATGCAGCCGCAGCACACCGGAGTCCGTGCCCATCTGTGCCCATGTTTGTGTATGAATATCAATATGAATATATAATCAAGGATTCAAAGCCCGTGGTTTCATCTTCGTGTACTCTAACTCACAAGCCACCATCACTGACTCAACGGCCAAGCTGGCCTTCCATTCTCAGTTTTCTCACCCCCAGTTTTGCCATCAGTCATCCCCAACACGTAATCCGCAGGCATGGCCCCGTCACAGGGGAGTCCTCGCAAACTCAGATCAAGCACCAGTGTCGTCGTTAAAGGAAAGAAAACCACCAGTAACTCAGTTCCTCACCATCGCCCCTCAGACCAGCGAGTGTCCAATACGGCTGGGGAAATATCACAGCTGATAGCCAACAGCCGCACGGGCATATGGAAGCGTGAGATACAAGAAGAAATTCTTCAACTCAAGCACTTAACGCTCCAAGAACTGACCATGTATCAACTATTTTGACAGCATCCGCCGAGCTCAAAGTTGTACACTTGCAAGGAATTTTGAAACATTACAAAGTCCCAAAGGTTGCTAGCGCCCGCCGCCCATTCTTAGTCGAGAGATACAAACTATTAGTCGACGAGAACACTCAATCTCCCCCTGATCGCAAAGGTGTGGCTGTTCCTCTCGCCCAAGTCGACAACAACCAACGGTCCAAAAAAAATCGCAAAAAAGTAGCAAGTGATGATCATGAAAATCGCCTGCCACTATCAAAGCCACGCAAAGGAAATCGCTCCCGCCCTCAGGTTGTTGCTTCAAATCTTCAAACGCGCGACACCTCACCTGAAACACCCTATGAAGTTGATCAGCTGGAATCAAGGTCTGATTTCATCCAAGACGGTCACGAATCATCCAGCGACGATGTGCCCTTGGCCAGCTTGCCAAGACCTCTCACAATACCCAACCACAGCGATCACATCCGCCCTCAGACGACTGATCCGGACCTTACAAAACATAAGTCATTACCTCATCTTCGTAACGAAGATGGCCGACTCAATCCAAGGCCTCAATTCAATCAAGATCTAGACGAAACTTCCAGCGACAATGTGCCCTTAGCTACCACTTCAAGACCTTCCATAAGATACGACACAATCAATCATGGGGAAAATGACATCTCACAGTCAAAGGACGATTTACCCTTGGCTAGCGTGCTACGACCGACATCCAGATCCAATCCTCTCTCTAATTCGAACGATGCCTTGACCAATGACATACCCTCGCGCCATTCACCTAATCGACTGCTTGATCCTGCCGTTTTAAATGACTCACTTGGCGCCACCACCAATCTTCCTGAAGCCAAAGACACACTTGTCAATCAACTAGATGTCCGGGGTTGCAACAGAACCTTATTGTTGCCTAGCGCTTCAGGAGTTACCATTAGTACTTCAGAAGTTGCCATTAGTGATTCTGGTACTCTGTCCACCAATAGTAAGGCTTTTTCTCACTTCAAAGTGTTCTTGAGCAGACCTGGTACGTACTTCAGCATCTTTTTGAAAAGTCAAGAGCCCGGGCTGACCATCTGTCTCTCAAGGTGTGAACGTGCTTGGTAAACGCAAACGGGTAGCTGATTCGTCAATGATTCTGGATGGTGTGTTTCTTTGTTTGATTAATGCACTCAATTCACTTCACCTGCATCACTAACCCTGCCTTTTGCGCCTTCTTCTTATATGCCTCTGATTGGATTGACAGTTGATAAGATATCGCTCCGAGAAATGAAAGCCATACTGAGCTCGAAGGCAATTCCGGGCAGTCTCGCTCACCGGGAAGAAGACATACTGGCCAATTACTTAGACTTATGCTCTCGATACCATGATCAAATTTTCCGCAAGTTTCGCAGGCTCGGCAATTCTTGGCCAAGCCAAAATTCGACCCGAGTTGCAGCACCCGGCAGATCAACCACATCCGCAAAACATATTCAAGGCCCACCCACGTCCGCAATACATGTTCAAGGAACAGCCACGTCCGCAACACATGTTCAGGGCACACCCCCGCTTGTCATCCCAATCCAATCTGCTTCAGCGTGGTCTGTGGATCAAAACCATCCATCCATGGAGCCACCACGTCCGATTGGTCAATCGAACATACAAGCCTCTGAGGCAGGGGATTTGACAGCGGATTTGAAAGGTAACTCCGCAACTTGGCAAAGGCCAGCATGCGTTGTTACTGATTCTTGCATGATAGGTTGTAAACGCAGTCGATCTCCTCCGGCACCCCGATCTCAGAGACAAATGCACAGCACATCAAGTTTGATGGGCCTGCATGGTGAGCTATGTGAAGGGATTTTGTTTTCGACGTGGCCCGCATTCTTAATTCAAAAATTTTCATATGATTATTTGCTAACTCGAGTTTTCCTTGTTTCGAAGCCAGCGAATTGACACCAAGTCAGTTGAAAGAAATCTTGGACAATCATCAGATATCTTACCATCCAAGCGATCGCCTTGCTAGGATCGTCAACAAATACAACGAGTTGCTTTCATCTGTGGAGCTAGAAACTCAGCAAAAAGTACGCCGCAAACAAAATCAACGCGTGACTAGGTATTCTCGCCCAAGAACCGCAACGAAGGAGCATTCGAGGCCCGGAAATTGTGAAGCGAATGACACACAACGTGAGGAGGTATACATCGAAGACATCTCACCCATCTATCACAACAACGTGGAAGGCGCAGTGGACACAAACCAACCGGTCCTTCCTGTCCCATCGTACAGCCGTTCCCAAAAAGCTTGCGGTTTGGGAGCGGCTGTATTTCCGAAGATTTTCTTTTTGCGCTTCGGTTTTTAGCGCCCTCTCTCCTGTACGTGGCCCTGTATGGCCACAGTACTTCAGGCAAAATGACCCAACTCCCACAGTTTTTGAGTTGAGTGTGTGGGAGTTGGATCATCGTAATCCTCACAAGTTTTTGGCCTAGAACCGGTCATCACATGGAGGCTCAGCCTACCCCTGCCTGGCAGCCGGCAGGCGTCCGGACCCACCCCGAGGCCTCGGCAGCCAGATCAGAACCTGTACCGTCATCTGTACAGGTTGTGAGGCGCTAAAATTTGATGGCGCAAAAAAAAAATCTTCTGAAATACAGCCGCTCCCAAACCGCAAGCTTTTTGGGAACGGCTGTATATACCCAGTGGGGACTATCGACCTCCGTTCCGCAATGACCCTCTCGTCTTCAGTGATCCCCCCAAATTCCACCATCAAAACTTCAATTATCCTCACCAAAACTGCGATTCTCTGCACCAATACTTCCCTCCTGATGAAGATATGACTGTTGACGATAACCCGCAATTCGCGTTTCAGAGTGAAGATTCGCCCATTCCTAACAACCACTCTTTTGGTCAAGGATGCCCCCGCCAAAAGCAAGACTTCGCTGTTGACAACGGAAAACTTCCTGTGGATGCAGCTGGAAAAGAAGAAGCGCTTTCTCGTATCCTCAGTTCATTTCACCACACCGACGATTCTTTCGGGCAAGAACCTCCTGATGAAAGCCAAAACTCATCAGTTGACGATCAAGAATGTTTTGTAGAAAACAACGAACCGTTTGTCAACGATCAAGAATGTTTTGTAGAAAACAACGAACCGTTTGTCAACGATCAAGAATGTCCTGATGGAAACGAATATCCTCTTGTCGATGATCAAGATGATCCTGATGAAAGCAAAAATTCATCAGTTGACGAACAAGAATGTTTTATGGGCAACGACAAACCGTGTGTCAATGATCAAGCATGTCCTGATGGAAACAAACGTTCTTCTGTCGATGATCAAGATGATTTGGTTTATTCTGCCGAAAATGAATCTTCTCTCAGCGAAGAGGCTTCACGAGACGAAGGATCTGATTTCGATCATCTTGCTGATGAGAATTCGGAGGATAATGGTAAATGTTGCCGACACCTTTGTTTTGTTTGCAAGCAGTTTACAAGCACGCTACTGATTTGCCACTCATCCATTAATACCCCCAAATATCGATCAATGGCAAAGACTCGACCGAGTTGCAAGGATCAGAATCTCACCTGATGGAAGAGTCGACCAACCCCTCGCAGTCCCTCGGAGGCTTGGTCGATTCAAAAGGATCAGGCCAGTCTGAAATTATTACTGATCAAGCCGAAGTACATGAAAATCACGATCAGCAAAGCGCAACTATTACCTGTTCTTGGACCCCAGGTCCGTTGTTCTCACCGTTGCTTTGGGTTTCAATCGACTGATTTGCATCTCTTTTGGCAGGCGCTCTTTTGACCAAGGCGATCCTCCAAGATGTCCTGAGGAAGCACGACATTGCCTTCAAATCGAAAGACAATAAGCAAACGCTAGTTGACCACTACGAACAACTGATGTCTTCCCAAGCTCAGGCCGTTAGTGAGATACAGCACACTCAGCTTGTAGAACTACCTCCGACAGCTCCCAATCATCTTCCTACCAACAGTACGCCTTCTTGCGCACCCAAACCCCCGCAAGATTTACCACCAGCAGTTGAATCCACTTTCGACCAGTTTTCACCTGAAGAACTAAGAGAAATGTTAGATCCCTTTCCCCTGAAGACCTCTAGCTTGTCGAAAAAAGCTTTGGTTCTGCTCTGCGAAGCTCATGTCAACATTGGTAAGTCGCATGAAGATGCTTCAAATCGCCCACTTAGACTTATAAACTTCCCCAATTCAGATCAGCCTATGCAACTTCGACGTGGCTCTCGACATTCGGGCACCGATGCCACCTCTGATCCCGGTGGTCAAATACCTATGGAGATAGATTCATGCAACTCGGACATGGAAGAATCACATCCAACAAGGGAGATAGAAACATGCAACTCGGATATGGAAGACTCACATCCAACAACTGCCTACAACCCTCCTCGATTGGACTTAGAGAATGGCTCGCTCAATTCTGTTTCCATCAGCTCACCGCCGCAAAATAGTGACAGCACATTCCAAACGCAGGACATCCCTCAATATTTCAAAGTCCTAGTTGATTCGCAAGCCAAAACCAACCAACTCCTCGCTGTTCAAATATCGAATTCTGAGCGTTTCAATCAGGCCGTGTTATCAAGGCTCGACAATTTGACACCTCGAATGGACCAAATAATCGAGTCGGCTGCCACTAACAGCGGTAATGGCCATATCCCATCTACAAGTTCAGGCTTGCGCACGGCTACTACTCGCGAAAATGTTCAAGCAACTCCTTCAGGCGGCCGTTTTGCTGTAAGTCCCTCGATCATAGAGGATTCCGAGTGTATCTCACGTACTGAAGTTGAATTGTTGTTAAAGGAATTAATTAGAATACATGTTGCCACGTTGTTGGGGCTTCGGCCTAGAGAACCGATTCCACCCCCTGCCACTGAAGCCGAGAGAGCTCAATGGATTAGCCAGCCCGACGAGAATATAGACGATCGTGCAGACGACAATAACCCCTCTGACACTGACATGAGTGATCTCAATGCCCTTATCCTAATGGCCCGGGACATGCCGACGCCTCTTCTCAAACACTCAAATTCATCAAAGGAGAAATGGATCGTTTTGGGATATCGTCATTTCTACCGGACTTCGCCAAATCGTGGTGCAGTCCTGCTAACGCTTTTCTTTGGAAATTTGCTGTGGAAACATTTATTCAACTTGTTGAGCGCCGTGAATATACAGGTATCAATTTACAGATGTACGGTTGTCCAACAATCACATCAAGAATGAAGCATCATGTGAAGGATACATGGCAGAGGACGTCAGTGATCGCATCTCCGATTCAATAACCAGAAAACATTGAAATCTTCTGGCAAAAATTGACGCACTTTCATCTCGACCCCAATAGATACCGAAAGAACCAGCCAGACATACGAACTGCAACATCCCCTAAGTCTCTAGCGAAACGGACCCGCATGACCACTTGAGTGATCAAAGTGAGTCTCGAGCTGGACTCCATACTCCGAAAATTAGCTGAAATGTATTGTGATAGTTGCGTCGGGTTCGATGCAATGCCATTGTGCACATACCCGAGTTGAAGGGTTTGCTCCCAATAATAGAGCAATGTTGCAGCAAGGATGAATCCGATCAATCAGACGCAATGTCTATCAATTCTGATACATCCTCTAGCGAATGCGAATCCGACGTTATGGACATTGACAATTCGGCCACCCCGGGCCGGTGCTCATCGACCTCCACATCAAGAAAAGCTGTATTCAACAACGCCAATCCAAAGCGCTCCGTTGTGCGCAAGTTCATATGGCGTAATCCTGCGGTCGATGATCTTATGATCTTGCTTGATGAGTGGAGACTTCAAAAAAGTCAATCCACTCCCAAGAAACGTACTGGTCCCATTCCAACCATCCGCAAGAGACCCACTTTTCCTTTGATTAGTTATACTAAACCCTCTCCTTGCCTACCGTATGATGTCTATGATCCTGAATGGCTGAGCGCCCTCCCGGACGTGGAAAAAAGTGACTTGGATGCACGTCCCGAACCTGCTGTCCAATTTTATGCTTCTATTTTGCACAAGTATCGCCAGAGACAACGGTGATTTGCGTTATTGCTCCGGGTCCTTGTAGCAGCACTTCTCTCTCTCTCTGTTAAACCCAAATCCCTTTCATTATGTGCCATCATGTCCTCCGTTCCCTACATGTATCTGCTTTTTCACATACACTTTTGCGGAATTTCAAAGCTTGATGTTTTGCGTGTTTTTGCTGTGACAGTGACAGCCGAAGCCCCCCCCCCTTTGGGAGGCTTATGTATGTATGAGTATGCATGACAAAACCTGTAGCCCAGTTGGCTCACGCAAGTGAGTCACTTAGACCCTATCGGCATCACGCCAATGTATATTTAAGCCCATTTTTCCCCCTAGGAGGTGAGGAATCCGCCCCCCTCTAAGCACTCATTTGCCACTTGGAACTCGACAACCTGTCAGCATTCTTTCAGCACCCATCGGGATTGTCGCTGTTGTGTCATGATCACTGACTTTTCATCACTCATTTTTTCCGCTCAGTCAGTACGGCGTGGACCCTCACGCAACCCGATCCGACTATGCCTCCCAAAAAGCATAAACAATTGAAAGCTGTCTGTCTATGCGTCACTCATGGTTGCGGTAGGTTTCGCCATCTCGACAACGAAGAGAACGTCCAACCTGGTGTGGAGTTGACGCTTAATACCGTCAAATCTCATCGCTTGGATGATGCGAAAGCCAACCTTGCTCGAGCTGATATACGAACCCATCTTGACGTCAAGCCACCAAACCTCGAGGCCGAGTTGGATCATCTCTCCCTGGATTCACCCCCGCCTGCTTCCTCCTCCAGACTTTTGTCCAATACATATGCATCACCTCGATCCTCAGCCCAATCTGTAGACTCCTCCCAGGACCAAACCCTCAGCAACCGGCAACCACCGCATCAATTACAAGGACCAGTCAACCAAACCAACACCATCTATGATTGCAGTAAGTGTATTCGAAAGCTTCTTGTACCTAGGTCCAGCGCTCTAAACATCTCATGTTACCTGCAACAGGTCGATATTTTTCGTTCTCGTTGAAGGCAGCAAGCCCAACATCTGTTTACGTTGCTTTGGTCGCTGCTATCCTCTCTATCGTCAAGCATTGCTCAGCTTCTACTATCACGTGGTTTCTTAAATCTCAACAAGATTTTCTCCATCTCGTCCTCCGTTGCTCCACCACTCTCTCAGATCAACTGGCTCATCACGAATCCAGCCTCATTCAAGAGATACCCCATTCTATCGACACAATCGTACAATGGCTCGAGTTGGATCCAGTTTTAACTTCTGTGGTTTCCTGTAGGGAGTGCTTCGCAATGTATCCTATTCTGCCGGATACACCACGTCAATGCATTCACGAGCTTCTACCCAGCTCAACGTCTCTAGACCCCCTCAAAAAAAAAGGTTAACACTGCATCGCCTGACCCCACTGCATTGGAATCAACTGTCTGCGGTGCACCCTTGTTCAAAAATCGAGGTATCAATCAAGTTCCCATCCGAAAATATGGATTCCAATCCCTTCAGGACTGGATTGCTCGACTCTTTTCGCGCCCCCACATCGAAGAGGCCTTGGAACAGACCGCAACACGATCTCGTATCCCGTTTAATCCAGCCGACACAGTCAAAGACATTCATGATTCACGAGCCTGGAAACAGTTTTCCGGACCCGATGGAAAACAGTTCACTGCAAGCAGTCACAACTTGACATTTTGCCTTTACACTGATGCAATCAATGCTTTCGGGAATCGCCAAGCTGGAAAACATGCCTCCATTACCTTTCTCATTCTCATCTGCCTAAGTCTCCCATTGGAATTGAGGTTCCGCCCCAAATATATCTTTATAGCAGGCATCGCCCCCGGACCCAAGGAACCCTCCCTTGAACAGACCAATTGGATACTTCAACCCGTTGTCCAGCAGCTCAATCTTCTTTGGAATCCCGGCCTCCATTTATCAAGAACCCATCAACATTCTGGTGGTCGTCGCATATTTGATGCCCTCTTCACCTTTCTAGGGGATCTACCAGCAGTTCGCCGCGCCTTAGGTTTTTCATCTACCAGTTCTACCCATCTCTGCTTGTATTGCCTACTCACTAAAGACAAAATCACCAACTTCGACTCAAAGAGCTGGCCAAGGCGCAATACACCCCGACCACCGAAAATGGGCATGCAATTCGCGTGATGCGAAGTCGATCAAAGAGAAAGAGGAGATTTTCAATGACCACGGTGTTCGATACTCGGCTCTATTGGAGCTGCAATACTGGGATATCGTCTCATTGCACTGTGTAGACTCTATGCACCACCTCCTTCTGGGTTTGTTGAGCTGGCATTGTAAGCGCCTTTGGGCCATGGAAGACGTTCCCAACGCACCTGAGCCTGAAGGTGTAAGCACTCGCGAACTTATGGACCTCTTGATGGATGCCGCTCAACCTCAGCCTCATCCCACAGCCTTTGAACCCAATACCGCAGAAAGTCAGTTTCAACTCGGCCTCAGCTTGCTATTCGATGATGACAATGTCGATGCGCGTGGTAGCCCCTCTGTGGTCGATGAAGACTTTTCTCCCTCTCATGATGACAAAGGATGGAATAACGATTGGACAACTCTTTCCAATGGCGAAATAACGCTTGAATCGGAAGCCTTGGCCTTTATTAACGCTTGTCTTCCTTCCATCAATGCACCCTCTTGGATCAAGCAGCTTCTTCTTATACTTGGGAAGGCATCTCATGGTCAACTGAAGGCTGACGAATGGCAAAACTTATTCACCATCCAGCTTCCACTTATCCTTCTGTTGTACTGGCAAGGTCAAGATGCTCAGAACCTTTCTCTGTTACACAACTTTGCCCACTTGGTCTCCTTGGTTAATCTTGGCTTAATGCGGGAAATGGATTCTGCAACAATCGCACAGTATCGCCATCATCTGACATCGTATCTCGAAAGTAGTGTCAAATTGTTTGGTCCATTGGTGGCCCCAAATCACCATATGGCTATCCATCTTGCTGAATGCCTCGAGAAATTTGGGTCGGTAAGATCGTGGTGGACTTTCCCACTGGAACGGCTTATGGGACAAGTGCTCAAATCAACATCTAACAATCATCTTGGTGGGTTCTCTCTTCCCCTTAGCTCATCTGCAAATTAGCTAACTGTTATCACCCAACAGGCGAACTGGAGATAACATTTCTAAAGTCATTTTGTCGATTGGGCAATCTCAGGGCCCTGTTGGCCTCAGATCGCTTACCAGACACACTGGAGTCCTTCACTTCTCAGCTGCGCCCTTCCTCACAACCGGCAAAGCTTTTCCCACAAGCAACCGATCCTCGCTCACGAGCTCAGATTCTGCCGCCTAAGCTTTTTTCTGAGTTGGTCGAAAAAATCAATGCAATTCCCTTGGGTGACGACTGTATCTACATCGAGGCTGATAAGTGGCGCCCAAGGGACAAGGAGCGACGGATTGCTCCTGTTAATGCTCGAGTCGAAGATTTATCATCCTTCTATCTTCAAAATGACGTGACGTACTCGACGTACACGACAAGCCCGAAAAACTCTATTATTGAGTTCCGCGCGACAGCTGGAAAAACTGCCTTTGGGCGCATCACCCAAATCTTCAAACATCGCAGAGTCACCCACGACAAGAACACTCGCTTTGATACTTGGTTCGTCATCGACAGTCTCCCGAAATTACGGCCGAAATCCTTGAACCCATTCGCCAAACTCGACAACTATCCCCTGAAATTAGCACTGTGCACCTTTGATACGCAGAACACACGACTTATACATACGACCGAGGTTGTCTCCCACTGTGCGTGGATTCGCTACACGGCTGGACAGATTTCATCTACCTTAAAGCAAGATACGATCGCACTGGTCTCGCTTTCACGATAGTCGCTGCCAGATCCTTCTGCATTGGCATTGCTCTCATTATCAAGAATCATTCTCCGATCTCCTTGGCCAAAGTCTGCTTGCCTTCCGGCCCCCTACGATTCATATTCTGCAGTCGTTTCTTCTTGACTGCCTCACTCAAAATTCTTGTCTTCACAGCCCCTTATTTTTCGGCTCTTTTCGACAAGAGATCAAAACATCATCCTAGCAAATGATTGCCCCTTCAAACATAGATCGCGCGGTCACGGAACCAACAACTGATCTTAGTGGCTACATCATACCGGGCTCGACTTTCAGGCTTGACTGTCTCCTTGGAGCAGGAGCATTTGGGACAGTTTATCAGGCACGATCAAGTGAGTTGACTGTGTATTCATGTTCTCAACGCGCTACCGCAGCGGCTCTCCTTACCATGGGAAGTCTTGCTTCCCAAAACTACAGTTTACGCCATCAAAGTCATCCACAAAACAAGTTCCAAGACGACTTCAAGTATCCATCAAGAAATTCAGCATCACTTCCGCGCCTCGACTCATCCCAACGTTGTATCGCTTCTACAGACAATCGAAACTTCATCCTCAGCTTTCCTTATCATGCCTTATGCACCCCACGGTACACTCGCCGATCAGATTTTCCAAAATCGCCATTTTATTACCAACCCATCTCACGTCAAGCCATTCTTCCAACAGATGGTCTCGGCAACATCGTTCTGTCACGCAAATGTGATAGCACATTGCGATCTCAAACCTGAAAACATCCTCTGTTCGTCGGACCAAGTTTACATTGCTGACTTCGGCCTTGCCATCAATCAAACGAGCAGTTCCCAATTTTGCCGAGGAACCCGAGCTTACATGTCACCTGGTGAGTAAAGTTGATCATATTTTTCTCTGTTGTTGTGGGAAAATTGAAGTTATGGGATATGTACATCCGCAGAATGTCTCGGGGGTTTCATGACTCCAGTTGCGTCTTATAGCCCATTCGCAAATGATGTCTGGTCGCTCATCATCATTCTAATCAACATGCTCACCTCTAACAAACCAACACGACGGACATTTTATCAACTTCAGATCAACAGGCCAACACCGCACTTTATCGATAGTGGCCAATTCTCCTATCATTGCGAAATCTTTGTTCGTTGAAGAAAGTCAACGACCAAAAGCTCATGAATTACATCAAGGCTTCTTATCGTAGATACAATTGGGGGATTCATTTCTTATTCTTTCTTCTTGTAATAGGCTCTTGCTTGTCTATGCCGCTACTGAATATGTTTCTTCCAATTGTATTCACATACATAGCACATATAGCAAATATAATAACAGTGAATGTTCTTTCTACATTTTGAGCTATCTAAACTGAAGAATGAATATATTTCCGACTATTTTGTTAGTTAAATGAACAGCTTCTCCCTCTCAATTGGACAAGTGCTGTTCAAGGGAAGAAATCTCAATTGCATTCCTCCCACCCCTCTGATGTGTTGATTTTGGTTGGTATAGGCCAAAAATGACTTATTGGTCCTACCTGGACCATTTCAGCACAGGAAATTCTACTTTCACCTGATGCATGTAAAAACAGAATGTGGTCAACATTCAATACTAATAAAGTGGTTTTGATGTCTCTCTTTGGCGTTGTGTAATCCTGGTTCTTGCAAGTGTGGGGCAACATATGACAAAACTGCCTACTCTTTTGGGCGAGATCTTAGTTTGTCAGTCCAACTTACAATTCTAACATCCCATAAGCAAGTCAATATATCCAACTACAGATGAGGTGGTATATACTACCATATTTTCACCTGGGGATAGTGATTTTGGCCAGAATGAGGGAAAATGGCACTTTCTGCCTAATTTCCTTGACATAATTCTCCTTCTGTGTCATGTTGAAAGAGATTCAAGCACAGATACATGGTCTATATGTTGTAGAAAATTCATAAAAAAAAAAAAAAAAAAAAAAAAAAACCGCTATACACGCTTTGCAACCGCTATACACATGGGGGAAGTACATTATGTTTGTAGTGGGGAGTCGTTGACTAAATTTTGGGAGTCGTTTTTCCAACCCCCCAAATATAACCAAATTCACCATTAATTAATTTACTGGTTTGAAAAAATCCACCCTTTTTTAAACATGTTGGTTATCCATTAAACCCCTTTTGGGGCCCATTTACTCAAAAAAAAGTTTTTGGAAAAGTGACTGGTTTCTGATGGTGAATTTCTTATATTAGCGGGGTTCATGATAGGATTTTGTCAAGAAGAAAATCAAGCTACTCAGTATTTGGGAGTGCTCAAACCTTGGCTTAATTTTTACACATAATTAAGCTTAATATTCAACCAATTGAGGAACGTTTTTGTGAAGTTTAATCCTCAATCTGCACACAGGAACCCTTAAAGCTTCCTGAGCTCAGGAAGCCTTAGAGGTCCCTGAGTTGGGATTCTGAGCTTAAATTAAGCTCAGGAAGGATTTCATAATTCAGGAAAAATTGAAACCAGGTTCAGGAAGCAAAAATCTTATTGTGAACCCCGCTATTTGATACCCCCTAATTTTTAGAAATGCACACTTACAAAATCCACCTTTACAACAACCAAAACTTACTTCTTTGGTCAGGGGTGTATCAAAGATAGCATAAATCAACCCATTCTTTTAGCCCAAAATTGACATCTCCCCTGACTTTCAAATTAAAATTCAATCCAAATTGCAAACATCACTCACCCCACCCCTTCTCCTTTCAAGTCAGCTCAACATCTCTTCCAAGCTCACCCTTGAAAATAACTCCTTATCAAACCAAGTCAGATCAATTGCTTCCAGGGATTTAGCTTCAACTCAACCCAAGTATATTTTTGATGGCCTCACAAATTTCTTCCATTTCCACTACATGCACCCAGCAGAAGCCTCCAAAGAAGCATTCCAGGATCTGTAGCCGGGCTACAGGTAGTTGGGCAGCACGCTGCCCCTGTACAGTTGATACGACCATGAGGAGATCTGGCGCTCCTGCTCTGACGCAAGGGGCTGGCCTACTCCTCCTCACAAGACCGGGTTTGGCCCGGAGTTACCTTAGCCAATAGTTCACTTTTCCCTGCATTCATTAGCCATGAGGCTTCATGCTTGTTTCTCATGTTTTCTTAGTCCATACTCATAGTCCGTACAGGACCAATATAAATTGGCCCTCTTTTACAGGGGACTCTTCCCCAGTTGTCTCGCAGTCTTTTCTCACAAAATCCAGAGATTCTTTCTTTAGTCCTTGCATTGCGAGTCTCTACACTCTAGACCTCTTGATCTGCACGAGCCCCACTGCAGATCCCACACATAAAGTCACTTTCAACCCAACCCAAGAAGAAGAGGAACACTCCCATAAATACGCAATCAAACAAGAACAATGATGAACTTGGTGCATCCCAAGTTCTAAAAAGAGAGGACTAACAAATTGTCATTGCCTGGCTGAGGAACAAGAAGAACTATGTTTCATGTTTTGGAGATGGGAAGGCTCCTGCAATTGGAAAATGACCAAAGGTGATGATAAAGGGTTAAGGTTTGGTGGCAATTCACCTCCAAAATGTTTCTACAACTAAAATTAACTCACCCCCTGACAAATCAAAGATTATTTCATATCATAAAATGAAAAGTATAAGAAATCCCATACAAAATCATTATACTGGCTTTGATCTGACTGCAGCTGATGGGAGGGCTGGAATAACAGTGATGAAGGACAAACTGGACAAAATGTGTCCTCTCTATGCTGAAATGAATAAACTATTTGGTAACCAGCCTGATGTCAATCTATTGTTTTTGGCCAATGCAGAATTCACCCTTTGTTGAAGAGTCCAAAGAAGAAGCAAATGGCAACCAAGAAGAACACAGCTGAAGTGGCTGCTACTTTGCAAGTCAATATCCTTGGAGCAAGAAAATACAGGAGATGTAAGTCAATTGGATTAATTTGTTGTCAGTGGTCTGATCAAACCGCGGTGTCTGACAAAGCAATACTGTCCATAATAGACCAGACCAGGGAGTGGTCAGCACGAGACAACAAGGGAGTCCAGAGTTTGCTTTCCTTGCAGTGTGGTGTTCTTATTTCACTTGTCTATGGCCCTGACAGCTGTGTATGTAGTGGGTGGTGGATGAGTCATCTTTGTAAAATAAGGCGGTCAGGGATGTTGTTACCGAAGGGGTGATGGTCCTACTCCATGCATGAGCTTTGGCTGTAATATCCAACCCAGTATTATGTGCTTTGTTGCCTTGAAATATTTTGGTGAAAATTCCAACATGTGGTGTGTAGAGTGGGTGTTTGTGGGAAGAATTTACCTCTTGTTTGTGTCAAAGGCCATTTGAGTGTAGCAAGGGTCCTCATGACTGAATTGTCAGTCATCACATCTTGTTTGGATTCATCAATGGGGAACATGGATGAATCACTCTTCAGGTCAATTAGTAGAATTTTGCATACCTCCAAGGACAGAATGGACTTGTGAATACTGTTTAGCCTGGCAGGAGGATTGCCAGACACGCCAGAAACTACATCCAATGCATTCTACTTGGAAATCACCAGGAACCCACCTTTGGTGGGGTCAATGGATTCAAGCTCCCCAACTAGCTCTGCATTGAAGCTTCCCAATGGCTTGGTTGAGACTGCTTACTTGCTTGTATTGCCAACCAAGACCTGAGAGGGTTGATGTTCAGCCACAGCAAGGAAGGGCTCACTTTGGGGAGCAGATGGTGAGTACAGTGAAAATGTGTCAAGGAATATAATGTTTTTTGTCTTAGTGGGACAAAAACACCATTGCACTAGTGTCCTGGTGGCAGCAATGGGGGCAGCCTTCCCCCTGAAAAGTGATTACTCTAGACACATCTCTTTCGGTAAGTCTATTCCCCTGAGAACAGGTGTCGGGCAATAAACACCCTGTTGGTAAACCTTGCTTGGATATAGGAGGACTTGCTGGGCCTTTTGGTGTGCCAACATTGGTAGGTGAACAATGTTGGGCAGATCTGAAGGTGGCAGGTTTGGACAAGTTTCTTGCAGGAAGAGCATTCTCTTGTAAATGAGTGTCTGACAGTGAGGGTCCTGTTGGTAGAACTTGCTTCATAGGAGGCTTTGGCATTGTTTGGTGAACAAGCTCTGTGAGATCTTGAATGAGTCGTTTGCATGAAATTGACATCTTGCACCCTTTTAGTTTCTGACATGTCAATGTCCTGGGAATCATGAATTGAGCTGGGGTAGGTCAATGAGGGAGATAGCACCAGAGCACTAGGTTTCTCAAGGGCACCGGTTTCACTGGAAAGTGGGATATGTGCAATGCCCTTGCTTTTATTGCTCTCCAAATAGGGGGTATCAAATATAACCAAATCCGTGCACAACTCACTGCTTGAGCCTGGTTGGGGTAGTAGTTGCGCCTGGACGTAGGAGACGTAGGCTTGTCCTCTGAACTGTTTACCTTGCTGGTTGCTGACTCAATCTTGCATTTTTTTGCAGTAGATTGGTTGTGGACGCGACATGCCTGTCTTGCAAGTGATTGCCATCTTGCATTGTGAGGGATGGTTCCCTGCTGACACCTTGGGGATGGATTGCTTGCCCTTGCCAGCTGGGGGACTGGAAGTTTCAGACACTTTGGCAGATGTGTTGGAGTGCTCCTGTTGACTGTTCAAGTGTGCCAATTTCTAGGCTCAGAGCAGCCTTGGGAAAACTTCCCTTCCAAGCAATGTGGAGCTTCTCAAGCTAAAGAAAAGTGCTCAGAGGGGAAAATGAGAGCTGAAGACCTGGATGCTGATGAAGCTGCTCTGTTTTCAAGGCATGGGAGAAAAATTTAGAGGAAGGATAAGACATCCAATTTGGTTTTTGAGTCTCTTGGATTGAAGGGTTGTATTTCAGTCTTTGAGATGAGCTGAGATGAGTAGTTTGATTGGGGAGTTGAGCCAAGAAGATCTTCCAATGTTTTGGTTGATCAAAAGACTGAAGAAATGGGACAGCTGTCAAATTTAAACATCAAACTCAAATTTATAGATGAGATTGACAGTGAGAGTAGTTTTGGCATGGTGTGATCAGGTTTGACATGATGATGAATTAAGTTGATTTGTCAGAGAGGACTTAAGATGCGGATATGGTTGGCACAGTGAGTCTGTCACAGACATTGCTGGCTGTTATGTTGAGTTTCAACAGGTAGCTAACATGGGACCAGCCTCTTGTACAGGGCCTATTCAATCAATCATTTGGTGTC